TTCGTATTAAATTACGTTCCTATATGCTAAAATAATTTATTTTTAAATGAAATATATAAAAATTGGTGTATTAATTCGATTTAATTAAAACTAATAAGAACCGATAGATTCAATAAAATCGGTTAAAACACAAACACAATCGTATCCAATTGAATGGATGGAGTTTTTAGAATCCAAAAATTAAAAAAATTTGACAATTAAAATTTTGTAAATTTAGTTTTCTTAAAAACTTGAAAACTATTTTAGTGAAAAAAATCAGTTAAAAACCAAAATCTTCATTTTTTGGATTTACAAATAATACAAAAACCAAACACCAAAATCAAATACTAAAAGCTAAAATCCAAAATCTAAGATCTAAAACAAAAAAAAACTCAAAATATAAACTATCACCATTTTATAGAGTTTGATTTTGTTTGGACTTGATATGGATTAAAACCTTAATACAACTCAATACAAACTACCAAATTTAAATTACTATTTAAATTTTGGTTTAACCAAAACTATACAAAACAAAACTCAATAAACCCTAAGAAAAATTGGATCCGACTCCAATTTTTATTTTTTTTAAATTTCTTTGAACCGGATGAACCAAACCCGGTCAGACCAAATCTTGGATAAATGTCGATCTCTAACTAGAATAGGTGGTAATATATGTCATGAGATTGCAACCGCAAATATACATTAATTTAATTGGAAAGTTCTGCTTAGCTTTTAGGGGGGTTTCTTTGTGATCTAATTAGGTTAAAGTAGCTTTTAGGGTTTATATACTGGTTATAATAAATAAATCCAAGTTTTTTTTGTTAGGGGTTTCTTTTAGCTACCAAGAGTATTACAACTGAGAAGCTTGATTTAAATTTTATATACTCTACGTACCATCATTTTTTAATTAATTGAAAGTATACTTTATTATTTATTGCAAGTCCACTCTAATTTATAATTGATGAAGTGAAAAAAAAAAACTAAATCTTGTTATAAAAATTTCAAAAAACCAAAATGAATCTCCATAAAGGGTTTTCTAGTTACCCACTTTGTCATACTAATTTATAAACATTAGAGAGGTTTTTAATATGTTCGTCTATTATTTTGGTTTATTGTCCGACTTGGTAAATACATACTAATATATATTTCATTCGTTTAATTTTAGGTGACGTTTCAGAATATTTCTTTTATTTTGAAATAAATGACATTTTCGGATTTTCTATGTGTTTTTTATTTTTTTTTCTTTCAAATTTTTCTTTATTTTATCTTTAATAAGGGAGGAACCGTTAATAATATTGAAAAAAAAACAAACTAATTAAAAAGGGTATTTTGGATAAAATACTCTTTTTCGTGTGTTTGAACTAAAACCATATTTAAAACTAATAAAGACCCAAACTTAGGTGGTGTAGTGATAAGAGAACATGCAAAATATACTCTTATTCCAGATTTAAATCCAAACGTGGGAGGAGATATAATTGGATTAAAAACACGATAAACTTCCATATTATATATAAAAAAAACTTAACAGGGGAAGTACGAAGTAGAATTGGAGCCCTAGATATGCCATTAGAATCAATAGTACTTCAACTATTGGTTCATTAAGTTTCATAAATAGAGTTCTAGTCACACTTTCAATAGTATAATATCAAAATTTTGACAATTCACATTCGATAAATAAAAAAATCTGAATTATACTCCTGGAATTCAGAAGAAATATGGGTTAAAAAAAGACGTATATAAGAATCTTAGAAGTGGAGCTTAACAAAGATCCCCCAAATCTCCCTTTTAATTAAGGGCACAATTAGAAATTCACTATTTATTCATTTTTGGTCGTACATTTGAGTGTGGGGGGGACATAGTGAGACCGTTTAAATCGTTACATTGACATGATTTTACATTCTACATGTTATGTCAACCTCGTCGGTATATAACGTTTTTGTTGTGTCTTGTTTCATTTTTTTTTTGGTCATCGTGCACTTGCTTTCTCTCTCTCTCTCTCTCTTTATTTTCTTTTATGAAAGATAATTGGGACATTGATTTGATGTCTTACTTGCATGTTTTCATTGGATATTTTGTAGTAAATGTTCTTTTGATGTAGTTGTAGATATAGTTTTTAAATTTTTTTTACGTACATAGCCAAGTAACATTTTATTGTTTGACAATTGCTAAACACATATTTATACACTCTTGCAACATTTATTTAGTGGTCGTATAATTTTGTAAGTAAAAATCATTGCGAATTTTGTTGCCAAATTGCTAAACGCTACGTCTAACTCTTTTTTTTTTAATTATATATTTTTACTATTCACAAAAAAATGTATGTGCAATATAGAATAAGAGGTTCTTGTCTAATCTCCACCAACACACACACATTAAGTACATCAAAAACTCGGTTTCAAATAATAGCACTTAGGGGTGGGCAAAATATCTGAATCCGAAATAATTGAATCGAATTCGACCGATATATACCCGAACCAAATCGAACCGATTAAAATAATATACCCGATTGGATATGAATATTTCAGATCCGAAATATCCGAATCCGAAATAACCATAACCCGAATAAACCGAACCCGAATTAACCGTAACCGAATATATCCGTTTATCCATCCATATATCATCAATTATTATATAATATATTCTAAATCTAATTAGAAAAACTAGTATAATGATATTGTTCTATATTCATGGTATATAAAAAAACGGAATATACATGTATTTTAATGTTGTTTTTGTTATTTTTATAAGATAATTGTTTGAATTTTTTATCGTTTTTTTGTTTTGATAACCCGAACCGAACCCGATCTGAATCCGAACTGAACCGATTACAAAAATATACCCAATTATATATGAATATTTCAAATCTGAAATATCCGAATCCAAAATAACCGAACTCGATTAAACCGAACCTGCCCGATCGCCCACCCCTAATAGCAGTAAAACATATAAAGGATATATATATATATATTTCGTAAAGAAATTGATAGAGAAATTGTGTTATTAAATTTGAAATTAAACTAATAATATATTTTGATAGCAAATTAACAGCACAAAATTGTATTATTATATTTTAATAAACGAAATTAATAGTAAAATTGTGTTGCTATATTTGAAATTAAATTAATAATATATTTTGATCGCAAATTAACCACAAAATTTTATTGTTATAATAAAAAATTATATATACAGTTCAATTTATAACTTAGTTAACAATAAAATTCAGTAATTTTGTAAATATCCAATTTAGTCTACCGGTAAATGACTGAATTGCCCTCCCGGTACCAATCTGTACACAAAAGATGCAATGACGATTGACAATGACGGCTCTTTTTCATGTGGTGTTTTGTAAGTTTTTGTTCCTTTAAATTTAATTAAAAATGACATTTATACCCCTGATGATTGTTGCTGCTGCTACAATTATCACGAGTTAGTTTATATACATATACGACTGTATTTTTAGCCCGAAATTCGATATCTGATCCGTGCGACCCGAATAATGATCGGATTTTAACTTTTAATTTTTAGGTCCAAAAAATTTCAAACTTTCGGATCGGATTCAATTCGAATATCGAATTTGATCGGATTTAGTTTCATGGGTTTCAAACCGACATAAAAATATGATTTTATTTTTATTTTCTAAAAAACAAACTTAATCCAAATGAAAAATAAATAGGACCCGTATCCAAACCCCAATTTGAATTCTATAGAGTCTAGTTTTGGCTTGGTTTTATAGGTCCGAAAAAATTTGGACCGATCTGAATCCGAAACCGTCAGGCCGATTGTGGATCGGGTAGAGTCGGGTCCGACCCGACCCATTTGATATTGATATATATATATATATATATATAACAAAAGTAAAAGTCATGAAATAATCATTCCCACTCTCTCAGTTTTTGGCTATTCATCGAAATGCGAACAGATAATCAAATATAGAGTTTAGATTTGGCTTATTCGGTCTCCATGTCAAGTATTAATATCATGAAAAATGTTTATTAGAGTTTGTCATAATAAGAATTTTGTTTGGTCCGATTTCAATATATCTGATCTGGTTTTGTCTGGATATTTATATATAATTTTGATTTTGTTGGGATTTGTTCTTTAAGAGCTCGCGTTCTTCATTTTGGGATACCAAAAGCGGAAATTACTCCAATTATTCCATTCTATTTCCCTCTAATTTCAATAATGATTTGTTAATATGATTTAACTAATTCTTATCTTTATGTTTCGAGTTCTGTTTAGAGTTAGGGTTCGAAAATCATGATTCAAAAAGTTAAATATCTTAAGAATAATAAACTTGTCGAATAGATAATTTATGCTTTCTAAATCTATTACTTAGCTACAAATATGTTTCATATATTTTATAACGTACTAAAGATTTACCCTAAACTTTAAACGCTATACAAAGTCCATGCATGTTTTCAAGAAATGATCGAACATGGGAAAATATATAATATAGAGAGAGAGAAAAAAATCAAATCGACAGAACCCTAATTAACTTCTCTAATAAAATCGTTGGTTTTTATTAAAAAGTGCCAGAGAACGGTCCACATGAACTCCCATTATCTTCACCACAAAACAGATATAAAGCTTTGTACATGTATATATATATATATATATAAATAAAATCTATATGTGTATATATCGATACACATACAAGAAATTGTGGGGGATGAGAGAGAGAGAGAGAGCAGAGGTGGTGGGCATCATTTCTCTTGAGAGACAACTGTTTGCAAAGCCTTGGGATCGAAGGCATCATCTCTGTGGGACACTAATCATGGCTTTGAAGAATTATAATCATCTCCCTGTAATTGCAGAGAAGAGTGCCAACAAAAAGAAAAATTTACAAAAAAAAAAAAGAAAAAAAATATACCCTGTAGAGAGAGAAAGATCAGGAGAGAGAGAATAAAAAGCTCTTTAGAACTTTAATACATAAAATATTTACTTTGTATTATTGATGGATTCTTTATTTCTTCCTTTCTTTTGAAGGCTTATATTACTTTTCAGCAAGATGATGGGTACTTGAAACACTTGCTGTAGAGAGAGAGAGAGAGAGAGAGAGAGAGAGAGAGAGAGAGAGGGAGAGACTGTATAGAGCTCAAAAAGCAAAGGCTTTTGATGGAATAGAGAGAGCTTTGAGGGCATATGTTTGTAGGTTTGATTGTTTGGTGATTACAATCAACAATTTTAATTACTATCCTTTCATACACAAATCTCTTGGGATTTTCAAGGAAAATTTTACAAAAATTTCCACCCTTTCCCCCTTTCTTTACACGCGCATATATATATATACACATAGATACAACACACATAGATTAATATATATCTTCATATTCTCATATATATGGAGTCTGCTAATCTCCATCAGCATCACCAAGATCATCACTTGCAACTTGCTGGGTCTTCTTCCTCCTCCTCCTTAGGCAACAGCACTGACCCTTTTTGCTATGGAGCTTCCACCACTGCTCATCAATGGAGTCCTGCTGCTGGAGTTTCTCTGTAAGTACCTCCTATAACTCATCTCTCCTCTTATATGCATATACATACATACATACATACATACATACATACACACATACATATGCCTCATATATGCGGTGACACACGTGTATTGTGTACGTGTGTTATTAGGTCTCTCTGACTATTTTGAATGCCTTTGAATATTCTTGGTATCACCATGGCTCTATTCAAGGAAATTTGGAATCTTTCTTTTCCCTTTTTTTACCTGAAAAAAAAGTCTATTGAAGACAACAAGAAAAATTTTCAAATGGCAAAATCCTTAACACTACACGAACAATTTAACCTTCACGGTGTTTTATAATTTTTTTTTATTATATACTTCTAATCGTGCACCGACATACATGAATATAAATTTCTCGTAATTTTTGTTATTATGTCACAGAAACAGTATGAGCTTGAGCCAGAACTATAGCAATGAGATGATACACACAAGGGACCATAACAATGTCGGTGAATGTTTGGATCTCTCTCACATGCATAATCACTCCATGACCCAACAAGACTTAGCTATACAATGGCATCATCATCAATCTTCTTATGATAATGATCATCACCACCATGACCACCACCACAATCATCATCATCATCAAGATCATCAAAGCCTTTTGAAGATTAAAGAAGAGCTCTCCTCATCAAATCAAATCCAAGCCGACAATATCCCCAAGTTCACTGACATGTTAAACAATCCATTGGCCACGACAGATTACTTGAAGATGAAAGAACACGACAAGGACTTCAACGACATGACAGAGAAACTTCTGCTTAAGACAATATCCTCGTTAGATGGAGAGTATTGCAACTACCCTCCTTCTTCTTCTCCTTCTCCTTCATCATCATCGTCTTCTCATAGAGGGAAAAGTTTCAGCCAGATTCATCCGAGCTTAAACATTTCGAGTTTGAGCCATTCTCCCACCATGAGCATGAGCATGAGCATGAGCATGAACATGAACATGAACATGCCAAGACCATTCGATATGAATATGCATGTTTTGGATGGAAGATCATTGGTTAGTGGGAGCGGTTTAGTCAATAATGCTAACCCGCCAGAGATTAATCTCGGGATGATGAGTAGAGGGAGCTTGCCCTTTGGCCTTGGCGATCAAAATTTTCAGCAAACCATTACCCCTATTGATCAAGTAAGTAAACATACATTAAATATCTACTTAATTGTTTTCTCTTTCTTTTTGATATTGAAATAAAACTTTTAGCAGTCAAGTAATGAATGATGATTCGTCTAAGTTTAATTGGATTAGTATCTCGTAAAACATTAGGTTATGAAAGTATAAAATTAACTCATTAGAGAACTAAATTTCATACTTATGGTCATACACCTTTATATGGCATTGTGATTTTATGTAGACCAAATACAAATTGGAACATGTTTTTGTCAGAAAGAGAGAGAGAAAGAGAATAATTGATCATATTATATATATATATATATATTTGTTTTTAAACAAGTGAAATTTTAAGATTTTCAATGTACTTTTTGATATTTTTCCCTCCAAATTTATCCATTATTAATAATAGTTAAATACTTGCATGTCTATACATTAAATAAGAATATTTTGAACAAAATACTGTTTTTTTCCTAATATGTACTAAAAAACACTATTAGTAGTAGCTCCATTAAGATGCTAAGATTTCGACTTTAAGTCAAGTCAGTGATAAAAGAAACATCTATCGCATGCCAAAGCTAATCCTAGCATTACGGAAAGAGTTATTTAATCAATTTGAAGCTCATGAAAGGGTAAAGATATTTGCAATATATATACTTACATGTGTTTTCATTTGACATGTTTCTTTACATGAATAATAATGCATGGTCATCCTCATTAAAGAAATGATAATTTTCTTGAGCCCTAATACACAAAAGGTCTAATGAAAGGTAAACTAAACTCGTTTTAAGATTAAAATGTCTCGTGTTTTGAGTTCTATTTACAGACTAATTAGGGGAAAAGGGCAAGTGAATATTGGAAAAATATTCAAATATTTAATGATATATACAACTGTAGATTAATCACAGTGTGTGTATATATATGTATGTATAAAGCTAGAAACCTTTGTGACACATAAGAGCTTTGAAACAAAATTATGAAAACAAGATAGGGAAAGTATAAATATGACCCATTTTTTTCTTTGCTTTTTTTTCCCCCTTTCCTTCTTCTTGGTTAGAGGGCCAAAGCTTCATGCTGCTCTTTAGCATCATATGCAGCTCTCTTTAAGCTGAAACATTACCTTTGTTATATCTTTTCTTTTCCTTTTTCTCTTTATTCTATGCTTTGTTTTATTGTCTTTTATGAAATCTTTAGCCCTTTTTTTCCTCATCTTGCCGGGTACAGTTGGGATGTTTTTGTTATTTTTATTTCAAATACATATAGTATAATTATCTACTAGAATGGTCATCATGCATGTGAGTAATGCTATTGTTTATGTATGTATGTATGTATGTATGTGTGTGTGTATGTATGTATGTACTAACAAGGGTATGGATGGGGGTTTAAAGATGACACATTTCAGCAATGATCCTCAAGCTAGCGAAGGGAAGAGAAACAACTTACTGATGGCAGCGAAGGGAGGGGAAAATATTCACAAGAAGCCGCGCGTAGAGTCACGCTCCTCTTGCCCACCCCTCAAGGTCCTAATTTTAGCCCTAAACCCAAGACTTAGACATAATTTGCCCATCCCCTGTTTCTTTATTTCATATATATAATATATATGTATATATGTATGTATGTATGTGTGTATGTATGTATGTAGTTGATAATTCTTGGAACTTAAAACAGGTTAGGAAAGAGAAGTTAGGGGAGAGAATAGCAGCTCTACAGCAGCTGGTTTCACCCTTTGGCAAGGTAATTATTTAATCTGGTTTTTTTCATCCATATTTAACTTAATTAATCCATAAAAAAAGTTTAGAATTAATCTCTCATTATCTATATGATCACCTTTTCGTAAGTTTTGATAATTTTTTAGTTTCTTATGTTACGTGCAATTAATTAGATTTATTGATAAAAATGCAGACTGATACGGCATCTGTACTGATGGAGGCGATTGGATACATCAAATTCCTACAGAACCAAATCGAGGTAATGTGAACGCATGCATGTTATACGTAGATACAACCATACCTACATGCATATGTGTGTATACACACATATTCATACATATATATATACACATATATATATCGGGTGGGTATTTCAGTATTCGGTTTGGGTTTGGTTCAGAAATCGTTCGCATTGGTTCTACAAAATATGTACCAATTGATTATTATTTTATATTTGATTCAGTTTTGATTTTTGCTAAGAAAACTTTAGATTTTCTTTTAAAAAAAATTTGACCTTTTGGGATTTTTTAATATTCAAATCCGTTTAGTTCGGAGAAATTCAGTTTTCTAAAAAAATTATCGTTCGAAAATTTTAGACGATTCAATTCGTAACGATACCATATTTTTTGGTTCAGTACGGTTGTGAAACGCCCACCTCTATATATATATATATATATGTATATACACGTCTTTCTCCCGACATTCTTCATGGTTCTTGTTTCTTTGGTATTATTTAATAATTGTGGAATAATCCATAATTATTTATACATGCCTATCTAGACATTCAATAAATATTAAGAAGGTGGTCTAAATTCAATGCACTATAGTAATATTTTTTTTTTCCAATTTAATTGGTTCCCTATGCTCTACCTTTGTTATCCTAACTTGCCTTTAAAGCAAACGATTTATTACGGCTGACCTTTATTTACAATAATCTTCTTTGTAGAGTCTAGATCACTAATTACATAGAGATAATTTTGATTATATATATATAGATAATATATATTTATATTATATATTTTGTACGTTTAAAATATTTTATATATTTCGTTTGAGTTTAGCAGAAATATGTATAATCATTTAATTGATAAATTAATCAAGTTGATCCTCGTTTTGCAGACTCTAAGCGTCCCCTATATGAGGGCGTCTAGGAACCGGACAGTGAAATCATCCCAAAGGGTAATCATGAAAAAACATAAAATAATTAATGAATATGATTATTCCGTTAATCTAAATCATAATTGAACCCCTATCTTTTGGTTATTTAAATTAACTAATTCTCTAATTTACCTTTCTAGGGTTGTGCATTCAATGACGGAATGAAGAACCGAAACAGGATCTAAGAAGCCGAGGGCTATGTCTTGTGCCATTGTCATGCATGACTTACGTCACCGGAGACGTCGGCGGTAGCGGCCTGTTGAAATACCTCCGGGATACGGAGGCGGGCCATAATCGTCGATTAAATAAATGGTTAGGATTAAGCGAGATTTATATTAATTTCTCAAGAATATGTTTTGTTTTGTTTTGTTTTTGCTCATTTTGTAAGTTGTGTTTTGTTAGTGGAGCAAAGTTGGTCGTCCTGTTAGGGAATAATGAGGAAATCAAAGGATGGACCAACTTTGATCCATTAATTGATCATATGATATTGTTCTGTTTTTTTTTTCAAAATTTTATTCTCTCTTTCTGTTTATTTTTTTTTTATTTTTTTCACTCATTAAACAACTTCAATTATGTTTCCTTAATTAGGTTTCGACTGGTTATATCGTAGCGGTTGCGGATACGGATGACGACGTTTTCAGAACGTTTGATAGCGATTATGAACAATTAGTACTGACTAATTGATAAGTTGTTGTTGGCAGCAATTAAGGGTGAGTGCGGTTGCATTTGATATAAATTATCAAAAAGAATATTATTTTAAAATAATTTTTATAATAGTTTTAGTTAAATTTTTAGTATCATTTGATAAAATACTAATAAATTTAAAATATAAATATTATCAATTTAATTTATTTTTAAGTAAAAAATAATTTTATTTTGGGTTTATTTTATAAATAAATTGAAAGGAATTTCTAGGTTTAAATAATTTTTCATTTGTCTTTAGCAATCTTAATCTTCTTAAGATTAAACAATAATCGATGCTAGATTCCTTAAAACTGATGTGAATTTTCTAAAACTGTATTGGTTTTGTTGAATGAGTGAATTGGCCTTTACCACTGATTTTCCCACCAAAAACTGAGATCTCAATACTAGTAGAATTTTGGTAAATTGGGTCGGTTTAATTTTGGTTTATTAATGTTAAGAGAAATTCATAGGAATATAATGCTTCACATTATTTTCTGTCGTCTTTATAAATATTTGCGTATTATGTTTCAACAAGAACCGGATTCAGATTACACAAAACCGATGTAAATTGGGTTAAACCGGATTGGTTTTGTTTTGAAGAGTACACCGACCTAAACAAAAGATTTTCCCGCCAAACATTTGAAATTCAAATGGTTCGCCGACCTGCGGGATCCTCTGCGCGACTATAAATAAGGATATAGGGAAGGAAAACACAATCAGAAATCAGAATCTTGCTATCTGATTCCAAAGAAGAAAAAACAAGAGCTCTCCGATCTTCGATAAGCTCGAACAACATTCAGCGGCGACTCTCATCGTTCGCTCTTTTGTTGTCTCTGTTGCGAAATTAGACGAATCTGCTCTTCGGTTCTGTTCGGTGTTCGTCTTCGAAGGCTTTGCTTGGTGTTGCGAATTGTTGTTGAATTTCGTTTAGATCACAGATTTCTCGATTTTTTTTTCTCTAACGCACTACTCGCAGATTATTGCGATCTTGTCGGTGCTTTTGTTTCGCTTTCTTTTTGTGTTGTTCGAAAATGGATGCAGGTATTAGGAACGCTTCTTCACTCTTGAAGCCTTGCGGTCAGTGGCTATTTCCACCAAGGTTTCTTCCCGCAGTAAATTCCCGCGACAATGTGAGTTGGGTTTTCTCAGTTTTCACAAATTAGGGTTTTTCTTTTTATGTTCTGAAATTAGGGTTTCTTATTTTTTGATTAATCTTCTTTGATCTCGTCACGGGACCTTCGTTTCTGTTGATTATGGCGTTTCTGAATTGCCGTTTTACAGTTTTCGGATGGTTTAATCTAGAATTAGGGTTTGAATGATCAGTTCGTGAGAAAACGTGAGCAGGGTTCTTCGATTATCAGAAATTAGGCCAGTTGTGTTTGTTATATATATCCTTCTAGAATTTCTGAATTTTGAATTAGTTTGAAGAGTAGTTAGGGTTCTAATTTTCAGTCTTGATTTGTTGGTGCTGCTCCTCGATTCAGGCTTTGGGGTTTACTAGATAGGAAATCCCATGTTACCAATTCTGAGATTGGGGCTTTTCCATTTCATTTGTCCTAAGATTTAGCCATATTTGCTGTGTTTCTTATTTCAGGTGGGTTTAATGCGAATGAGTTTAATTTTTTTGGTTTCGTTTCTTCTTCAGATATGGGTTGTTGTATTTCTTTGAAAATTTTATCAGACATTCACGTATATTTTCTTGCCGAAAAGTTCTAAATCCTAAGTTTCTGTCTTTTACCAGGCCGATAGATTCATACCAAACAGATCCGCCATGGATTTCGACTATGCTCATTACATGCTGACCAAAGGGCGGAAAGAGAAGAAGAAAACGACCACAACCACAGAGGTGAGTTCCCCATCTAAAGAGGCCTATAGGAATCAATTGGCTGAGATATTCAGCATGAACCGGACCCGCATTCTCGCCTTCAAGAACAAACCTCCTGCTCCCGTGAAACTGCTTCCCAGCGACCAATCTGTACCTCTTCACTGGCAGCCTAAATCTATGAAGCCTCATAGAAACATTCCTCAGGTGTGTATGCCAAGATGCACTGATTTACATAAGATTTATCCAGTGGGAAAGATCAATGTGTTTATATTTTGATTTGTGAAACTTTGTGTATGCCAGAAGGCTGTTAGTATACTTGATGCCCCTGAAATCAAGGATGACTTTTACCTCAACTTGCTGGATTGGGGGAGCAAAAATGTTCTCGCTATAGCATTGGACCAAACTGTATATTTGTTGGATGCTTCCAGTCGTTCGATATCCGAGCTTGTGACGGTTGTTGATGAGAAGGGGCCTGTGACAAGTGTCAATTGGGCGCCTGATGGTCGTCATATTGCAGTTGGCCTTAACAATTCTGAAGTGCAGCTATGGGATTCTGCTTCCAACCGAATGGTAATTCTGAAATCTCAACTGTATCTCACTTTTTACGGCAAACATGTCATAACCTAACTCAAACGTGTCGTATTTACTTGCACAGCTGAGGACGTTGTGCGGTGGACACACCTCTAGAGTAGGATCATTAGCATGGAACAATCACACCCTGACAACTGGATGGACCGATCATCAACAATGACATTAGGATTAGGTCACATATCGTGGGGACTTACAGGGGCCACAGGGATGAGGTCTGTGGGCTGAAATGGACAGAATATGGCACGAACCTTGCAAGTGGTGGAAACGACAATCTCGTACACATATGGGATCGGTCCATGGCATCTTCAAACTCACATACGCAATGGCTTCACCGGCTGGAGGATCATACATCTGCAGTTAAGGCTCTTGCATGGTGTCCATTCCAAGGGAACTTGCTTGCAACAGGGGGTGGTGAAAGAGATGGGGCTATCAGATTCTGGAACACAAACTCTGGAGCTTGCTTGAATTGTCTCGAAACTGGTTCCCAGATTAGTGGTCTGATATGGAGCAAGAACGAAAGGGAATTGCTTAGTTGTCACGGGTTTGCACAAAATCAGCTTACACTGTGGAAGTACCCATCAATGGCAAAAATGGCAGAGCTCACAGGTCATACCTGGAGAGTCCTATCTATGACCCAGGTAAAAGTAGACATTACGGTTGCAACTAACAAAGATGATTCACAGCTTAACATTTGTTTGTTCCTAAATTTGTTTTATTTGTTGGCGATGTGTTACGCAGAGTCCCGATGGTTGTACGGTTGCTTCAGTGGCAGGAGATGAAACACTGAGGCTCTGGAATGTTTTCGGGGATCCAAAGGCAATTACAAAAGCTGCTGCTAAAGCCAATCCCAAGCCTTTTTCCCATGTGAGGCATCATATACGGTAAAGGCCAGAGTTAGATTTGTACAGATACGTACACCTCCTGGTATTCAGGTACAGATAGGTGATGCATGGAGGTTTGTGTATATTTTCACTGGAAGCTCGTGTGTGCTTTGACTCTTCACTTTTATATCCAAATGTAACAGAGAGAATGTGCTATAGCTCATAGCTGTATGATGACAACTGTGTTATAACAATACCATAATTGAAACCCAGAATAATCAAAGTATGAACCGTCGTTAAATTTCCTGTAATCCGAGATATTTGCAAGGCATGTGACGGGATCAGACAAGTATTTGTCTAACGTAAAAGTGGGTCCAAACATGAAGGAATCGAGCTGTCTTTGCAACTTGTGCAAGAGATTCCCTTCCACGCTCTCACTGACATTTTTCGACTCAAGACAAGCTAAGGACGTGAACTGCATATGCTTGGATAGCTTGCTCGAAACCTGAATTTTATCATTCTATGTAAAGCCAATTATACTCCAATTATAAATAAAGCAAGCAAGCAGGAGACTAAACCATGAACCCAATCTTTTTTTTCTTTTCTGTGGGATAATATATGCATGAGCAGTTCATGAAAACTTGATAGGAACATATCACATTCGGATGAATCATTGTTACATAAAAGATGTAATATAAAAGATGTAATAAAGTAATTCTACACTTTTTTAATTTGTCTTTCTTTCTTATTTAATTTCCGTAAATTTATATTTCTAGAGAAACCTCCCAGTCTGCGATAGCAATCAACTTGTTAAAACAAATGTTTGGCTTTAGCAGAAAGACTATGGAACGGGTCTCGAGTCTATGTTTCAAGATTTTCCGATATGGCTATGGAGTGCAAGACAACGATCAGTGTATGTATACACAATTACCAAATGCTGAGTTAAAAACTTGACCCTGACACATTCAAGCACAGTTATATACATAACGCCCGCTCTATACAAACTTCATTGTCTCAGATATTTAGGGTATATATATGAATTTGTATGTGTATATATATATATGTGAATATATATGTATATATGTGTGAATATATATATGTATGTGTATGTGTATGTGTATGTATGTGTTGTGTATATATGTGAATGTGAATGTGTGTATGTGCATGTGTGTATGCGTGTATGTGAATGTGTGTGCATGTGTGTAAGTGAATGTGTATGTGTTCATGTGTTTATGTATGTGTGTGTATGTGTGTTGTGTATGTATATGAATGTGAATGTGAATATGTATGTGTGTTTTGTTGAAGATCAAATCATTATTAGTCACAAACTTGGAC